AATATTTTTTGTTAATGTTGTGTGCTGCATATTTATGAAAACTAAGTGGCTGAAAAAGGAGTGGCCCTTTATCGTACTGATCGCAATGCTACCGACAACGTGCTGAAAGTTGCTCAGCAACCCTTGATGATTGAAAACTGGGCCCAAAAACCTGGCATGCAGAACACGTCACTTTGTGACAGCACTACCGATCACAACAAAGACGGCAATTCCTCGGTGGATGACGATTGTGCAGACACGCCATGTTCCAAGCGCAAAAAGACAAACGGAGAGTGTGTCGAAGAAGGTATGTCGAACTGCTTCAATATATTTTTTTGTTTTAATGTACTACATCCGTCCCCCAAAACAGTCAACATTTGAAGTTAGAGTAACAAACACCAAAATGTTGCATCGCCATGATTGGCCAAAATTTAAAGTTTTCGTGCATATTAACTCGTGGTCCTCAGTTCGCCAATTCCCCACGCAGCATACTCAAGCATGGAAACATCGACATACCCCCCGCCACGTGCAGGAGCTCTTCACCACGAGTCCATCATTCGCTACTTGCTGGAGCGAATGATGGACGGTAAGCTCCCCAGGAGCTCCATTAGCGACGCTGCTGCGCGTTTGGGTTGCACCCGGTAGACGATAAGCGCTGTTTTCCGAGCACGCAACGATAACCCACCTGAGAGCGTCAGAGGCACAGCACGCGTCTGGAGTCCTGCGGACCTCGTTGCGGCGCTAGAGGCCGCACCAGCCATCAAGCTGACATCTTACCGAGCGCTCGAAGCCGCTACCGAAATTCCGCGTACCACTCTCACGCGGGCCATGACGAACCAAGATAGAATTCGGCGTGTCGCTGGGTCTGTAAAGCCTTACCTCAGCTCCGACCGCATACACAAGCGCATTGAGTTTGCTCTTTCGTTCGTGGATAATGCTGCTGGTACGATTTTGTTTTGATGTGGAATTTGTATTAATTCTAACATACTTTTATTTTTTATGTAGGAGGAAGTTACAGGTTTAACTCAATGAATGACACGATCCACAATGATGAAAAATGGTTTTACCTTTGGAAAAAACGTAAATCGTAATATGGGACGGACAACGAGGAGGTACCGTATATTGCTGTCCCAAATGTCAATCCTATTGTGATGGTGCTCGTTTTGGTCGCTGCTGGGCGTCCTCGGTACGACATGGAGCAGCTAGTTGCAGCAGTCGTGTCGGCATATTTAGAGCTCGATTCGGTGACATTAAGCAAGTGTTTACTAACGCTACACTCCGTGATAGAACAAGCGATCTTAAACCGAGGCGGAAACGAGTACAAGGTCCCGCATCTGGGCAAGGACAAGTGGCTGTGCATAGGTGACTTGCCTCTTTCGCTGCCGTGCTCCAGCGAAATCGCCAATGCGGCATTCGACGAGGTCATTGTGTAGACGTGGTAATTCCACGAATTAGCAGTTTTAAAACGCAGTCTAATTCATTACTACTTGGTGATTGGTCGAAAAATGTCCTATCGATACGTTAAGACCCCAAAAAATTACGAAAGTGAACGTGGTAGTTTTGATTGGAGGTATTGTTAATATGTTTTGATGTGCTAAACTTGTACATCATTGTGTCTTAGTTAAGATAATTCAAACCCAAGGATCATATCTTTCATACTGATAACGTAGCGTAAGTTTCTGTACAACTTCTCATAATGCGCCTTAATCGAGCGATGTTATCTTGATAAGCAGAAGCGTTCAGAGTGCGATACATATAGTCACTGAAGTA